GTTAATGTAGAACTGCTGATTCACCCTTTAACCCTGAAGATCAGCGCAGACTGCTGGTCACCATAGCAACACAGACTACAGTCTCGCCCAGCTAGTAGCTAACGAAACGGCAAAGAGAGAGATTTAAGATGAACATCGATAATTTAGAGACAAATGGATTTATTAGTGTTTATAATCACTCCAGCTGGTTTCCTGATACGTTTAATCTGCAGTGAGAAACTGAAACACTAAAAAGTCGTGAGGCTGAAGTTTCTCATTCGCCAGCTTCTCGTTCAAATTGTCCCGTTCCACCTTAAACAGTGCAGCAGTTACATTCTGGCTCCATTTAAGGTGGAACAGGAAAATTCAAACAAGAAGCTGGTGAATGAGAAGTGACTTCAGCCTTAAAAGGCGAACACTGAGAGACATTTTACAAGAAACTGCTCTACTTTTGTGGAAAAGTTTCCTGCTGGAGATGCGAGAAAAGCAGCTATAGCTGAGCTGAAGCTTAAAGCAGAGCAAAGTAAGTCTGAGTTTTTATTTATTTTATATTTTTAGTCTATATTAGTACATCAGCACACACTGAGACAGATTTACAGCCAAGATGGTAAAATGCTGTGGCTCCCAAATTGGTTTGATTTTTGGACAAAATGACTCATTATCATTAGCGTTGCGACCCCTGGGTTAGTGTCAGGTTAAGGATTAGGCTTAGTAGGGCACTTCAAAGTGGCTAAACGTTGACCCTATCATCAGGAGATCACAAATTTCATCCCCTGTGATACTACAGCCGTCCGTGGCCAGCAGTCCAAGAGAGCACAGATGTCCTCGCTCTCTCTGGGTGGGTAGGATGGCCCCCCATTTCCCCCCATCACTCATCGCGATGCTAGGCTTCTGTTAGCGGACCGCCAGTACTGGTGGTTAGTGTCTCCTCCGAGCGCGTTCAGCCGTCCAATGACGTTGCATTAGCGGCAGTTTAGAAAAACGCGGTGGCGCTTCACAGAACTCAGAGCAAGCCTGCGTTTGTCCTCACCCTCCTAGCGCCGGCGATATCATGTGACTGGAGGAGTCCTAACTAGTGGGTGGAGTTGGATACAACTAAACTGGGCAGAAATTTGGAAAATAAATCACGAAAATGGATTAAGCTCAGGCTTATTTATATCTACATACTTACATATTATAACACATATAGGGTATAATATTGATACATATAGCTGCTTGCATATACAACACATATAGGCATCACTGGACACCAGGGGGCCCCCTAACAACCTATGGGTTATCACTGTACCATTATGTTGTAAGGAGAATCATATCTCAGAAAGAATAGATGTAAATGGAACTGAAAAACAAAAAGAGAAGATGAGGAGAAAGATAAAAGGTATGTTGGGTTTTTTTAGAGCCAGCCCTGCATATGGGACATATTATTATTACATATAGATGCCTACATATATATATGCCATATCTAAATATGTATATATATATAATAATAATAACTTTACAGGAGAAGGAAAAAACATACTCTACTTTTAATGCAAGTCAGTGGAACCAGACATTTTTCCAAGTAATTCTGGGTTGTTTTTTTGGTTCATTCATCATGAAATTTACATACAATTTAAAGAACAAGAGGTATTTTTTCAATTATGTCAAAATGGAGATATGAGGCTTTGTTCCGACAGCAGCGAGACATATATATATATATATATATATATATATATATACACACAATGCATATGGAACATGTATAATCTCACATCCTGACATTCTGTGAATGTAATTGCTGCTTGTATCAGTCTCATGGCTCCATTACACACCAGCCTGACGCTCTCTCGGATTCATTAGTGGGCTGCACCGCCAGCCAGGAACCACACTGGGTTTCCTTTTAGTGGAGCGAACCACTCGGCAAAGACAGGGAGTTTTAACCACATGAGTATGTTGGTTGCTGCGGTTCTTTAACCTGGGCTAGTATTTATCCAGAGCCACCAGGCTGGGTGAAGACACGCTGTACAGGCTGTGTCTGATATGGGTCATATGTTAGCAAGACGATTAAGAAGTAACCCCTCACTAAAGGGAATTTAGGCAGTAGCCGTTGCCTGTTATTCTGATCTGGAATCAGCTTTACCGTTTCTTTTACAGTGGCTAAAATAAGGCTTTGCACAGAGGAACTACATTAGACAGTTTGACGTGGAAGCCCTGAACGTTGAAGCTGCGCTCGTCCTCCCGTCATTAGCTCACGCTACTTGGCTTCGAAGTTGAAAATTGATTCATAACGACCTGAAAACTGCAGCGTTCACCATCTGCTCTGAAGTAGGTGTTCATTTTTAACTGGAGAGCGCTTTCCCCGCTCTCCTGCTCCTGGACGTTTTGGCTGAGCTCCAGGCAGCAGGCCAGGCCCAGCGGCTCTGATTAGCTCTGCAGAAATGGATCCGCTGTGGCCGTGGGTTTCATTCACGAGCGAGAGAGCTCGCCCACAAAGAAAGAGCCGCATCCAAGGAAGCCATAGCGCACAAACGCAGCCCACTGTCTGAAACATGTCAGCAGAAAATAACAGCCACAAATAGGTTCCAAGCAGAGCCAGTCAGACTGACAGATCAAATACACAGCAAATAAACCTGCCGTCGTTAGCCTGTCAGTCGTTTATCGCCAGCTTCGCGCTGGTCCCATGGTGACAGTAGTAGAAAAGAAAAGGATTCACTCAGTGGAACTGCTGTAAACCTTCTGTCATCATTCATATCACTATTCACCATTAACACCGTTTAGCATTACCGCTTTAGAAGCTAAAAACTCTAATAACTAAATTAACTGATTAACTATGCTGTTCAGCCTCATTAGCTTCACTAGCTTTATGTTATTGAGTCCACTTTAGAGAAGGAAAACTGCTGTAAATGTTCTGATCACTGTTTACTGCTAGTATTAAATATGAACATTATCACTCATCACTATGCTATTAGCTTCATTAGCTAATTAGCTTTACTAGCGTCACATTATTCATCCTTTTTTAGAGAATCAGCTTTAATAACGTGCTAATCACTGTAGAAATGTGGAACAGCTGTAAATGTTCTTATCTTATCACTTTTCTTATCACTATTTACTGTTAACATCAAATATGAACATTATCACTCATTAAAAAGTAACCATGCTATTAGCTTCCTTAGCTTCACTAGCTTCACATTATTCATTCTTTTTAAAGAAGTGACTTTAATAACATGCTAATCACTGTGGAAAGGTGGAACTGCCTTTACTGCCATTGTTCATGTCACTATTTATTAGGGGTGCGGGAAAAACTCGATTCTTAGATGCATCGCGATGCGGACGTGAACGATTCTGAATCGATTCACAAATGTCAAAAATCGATTTTCTAAATATTTAATTTATAACGTAATGTTGACGGAACGCAAAAGGCGGAACTGGAAGTGGGTAAGTGCAGCGCCCGGACAGTCTGTGGCGGCACACAACAAAAACACAGCTGGATGAGCGAGAAATCTGACCGGCTCCTCTGCATTAAAGCCAGGTTAGGTCAGGAGTCACAACACAAATGATAAGAAGAGCCATTTTGACCTTTCAACACAAATCAGACCAGCTTGGGAGACACAACATTTAATGTCCGGTATGTCTCAGTGTGTGTTAATGTCCCAGTATAGGCTAAACAATATAAACGAGAGCGCAGATTTACTCCGCTCTGCTTTAAGCTTCGCCTACAGCCGCTTTCCTCCCATCTCCGCCAGAAAACTTTTCCTCAGAAGTTGATCAGTTAAAAGTCTCTCAGCGTTCGACTGTTTTACGAGGCTGAAGTCGCTTCTTATTCTCCAGCTTCTTGTTTGAATTTACCCATTCCACCTTAAATTCTGACTGAGGCGCCAAATGTAAATGTGACACCATTTAAGGTGGAATGGGAAAATTCGAAAGAGAAGCGAGTTCATCTTCGTAACTGTTTACTGTTTGACAGTCTCTCATTGGAGATTTAACGTACCAGGAAACCAACTGCACTGCTTATAAATGCGAATAACGCGTCGCGCAGTCTGCAGTCTCAGTCGCTGCGAAACAGGACTTTCGCGCTATGCTGCACACGACCCGTCTCAAAGATACTTTACTGACGTGTCTACAATGAGACCAAAACCGAAGTTATAAAATCACTGAATTAAACGGGTAGAATAGCTGTAACGCGCTGCGTGGACGTCCATCACCACTGGATCTTATTTCACTGTAACTGCGCATTTTATCACAGATGAGTAGCAGCAGCTCCTCGTGCTCCAAACTAGAGCAGTGAATGAGAGCCTTCCAGTTCACTGACCACATCACTTTGATTTATTAATAAAAGATATTGGAAGTAAATTCATTATGGATCAATACAAATACTTTGCTTTAAAAGTACCAAGTCACTTTAAATAACAACACAGACTCACTTAGTGACTTTAAAATGTATATTGTCTCTACATTCTGTGTATATTTAATATATTTCAGTTGGTTTTTCTTGTATTTTTATTTTTACTTATTTCCTTTCTGTAGACTGATTAGCTGAGCTTCACCACAAGCATTTCAATGCATAAATGTCCGGACATGTTCTGCAAATGACAAATAAATTGAAACTTGAACTCGAAACTTGAGCTCACACAGTGAGAAAATATAAATGCTATATAGAAAAGATGCATCGATAATCGTTTTATAATCACAGCCCTCTGAATCGTAATTGAATCGAATCGTGAGGTGCCTAGAGATTCCCACCCCTACTATTTACCATCACATCATTCAGCACTATGGTTTAAAAAAGCCACCGTGTGATTAGCTTCATTAGCGTAAGTGTTGAGGTACTGCGGCTGACGGAATTGACCGAGTGCAGACAGTAAGCAACACGAACGTTAGCCACCACCTCCTGAGCATTTTAGAATGCATTAGTTTAAGTGGAACCGGGTGGAACTGACTTTTATACGTTGTTAGCAAGAGACTTCGCTTACATAGGAAGTTCGTTAATGTAATATAATAGAGGGAAAAGTAGCATTCTTTGTACTGCCGTAAATAATACTTACATTTCACCGCTGTTTTCCCAGAATGACTACGGAATTATGGCAGCTTTTCCTGATTATCGTCGAATCATTATTCTGAAAGAGCTCTCAGTCCTCAAGTGAAGTCCGGCGGGGTTTCTCTGCTGGCTTTAACCGAGTGCCAAACAGCAAAAGACTCATTTTTCCTCCACTGTGGTTTCACAGGGAGCTACACTGGACAGACAGCAATAACATTATGACATGAAACAGAGAGCAGGCGGCTAAATATAATTCATTTGAGTCCTGCCGCCTATTATTTTAACCCTGGTCCTTAAAGCCTGAGCCGCACCACACTCAATGAAGCTGACATGGAACAGGTTTCAGTGCTGGCAGCTAAAGCAACACACTACTGAGATGAATACAGAAGATCTGTAAAAAGCAGCTGTGTGACAGGAAAAGGGACAGCGTTCATCCAGAGGTGAAGGGTCATGGCCTACCAGAGCCAGTTAGAGGGACACACTCTTACGCTGTCATCAGCTGTGTGAGTGACTGAGTGAGTGAGTGTGTTCGCCTATTAAAAGACTCACCAGGAAAGAACAGCAGATAATCTCCAGCTGCCAATTATACCGACCTATCTTAGGGTGTCCTATCTTAAGAAGGCCTCTATTAAGGATCCCTGTGTTGGGTTGAGGTGTTTACGATTGAATGGACTGTTGGATTTTGGAGCAGTGCTGGGGTCAGGAGTTCTGAACCAGTGTAGAACAGATGGGTATAGATCTAGAAGCTCAAGATGATCTACTCTGTTGGGAAATCTAGTATGTGGGCTGATATATTTAGGAGAGGAGAGGAACTGCGTTTGGTTCAGATGTTTAGGATTGGAGAGGAACTGCGTTTGGTTCAGATGTTTAGGATTGGAGAGGAATTGCGTTTGGTTTAGATGTTTAGGGTTGGAGAGGAACTTTGTTGGGTTTAGATGTTTAGGGTTGGAGAGGAACTGCGTTTGGTTTAGATGTTTAGGGTTGGAGAGGAACTTTGTTGGGTTTAGATGTTTAGGGTTGGAGGGGAACTGTGTTGGGTTTAGATGTTTAGGGTTGGAGAGGAACTGCGTTTGGTTTAGATGTTTAGGGTTGGAGAGGAACCGCGTTTGGTTTAGATGTTTAGGGTTGGAGAGGAACTGCGTTTGGTTTAGATGTTTAGGGTTGGAGAGGAACTTTGTTGGGTTCAGATGTTTAGGATTGGAGAGGAACTGTGTTGGGTTTAGATGTTTAGGATTGGAGAGGAACTGTGTTGGGTTCAGATGTTTAGGGTTGGAGGGGAACTGTGTTGGGTTCAGATGTTTAGGGTTGGAGAGGAACTGTGTTGTTTCAGATGTTTAGGGTTGGAGAGGAACTGCGTTGGGATTAGATGTTTAGGGTTGGAGAGGAACTGTGTTGGGTTTAGATGTTTAGGATTGGAGAGTAACTGTGTTGGGTTCAGATGTTTAGGGTTGGAGAGGAACTGTGTTGTTTCAGATGTTTAGGGTTGGAGGGGAACTGTGTTGGGTTTAGATGTTTAGGGTTGGAAGGGAACTGTGTTGGGTTCAGATGTTTAGGGTTGGAGAGGAACTGTGTTGGGTTTAGATGTTTAGGGTTGGAGGGGAACTGTGTTGGGTTCAGATGTTTAGGGTTGGAGAGGAACTTTGTTAGGTTCAGATGTTTAGGATTGGAGAGGAACTGTGTTGGGTTTAGATGTTTAGGGTTGGAGAGGAACTTTGTTAGGTTCAGATGTTTAGGATTGGAGAGGAACTGTGTTGGGATTAGATGTTTAGGGTTAGAGAGGAACTGTGTTTGGTTCAGATGTTTAGGATTGGAGAGGAACTTTGCTGGGTTCAGATGTTTAGGATTGGAGAGGAACTTTGCTGGGTTCAGATGTTTAGGATTGGAGAGGAACTGTGTTGGGCTCAGATGTTTAGGGTTGGAGAGGAACTGTGTTGGGTTTAGATGTTTAGGGTTGGAGAGGAACTGTGTTTGGTTTAGATGTTTAGGGTTGGAGAGGAACTTTGTTAGGTTCAGATGTTTAGGATTGGAGAGGAACTGTGTTGGGTTTAGATGTTTAGGGTTGGAGAGGAACTGTGTTGTTTCAGATGTTTAGGGTTGGAGAGGAACTGCGTTTGGTTTAGATGTTTAGGGTTGGAGGGGAACTGTGTTGTTTCAGATGTTTAGGATTGGAGAGGAACTGTGTTGGGTTTAGATGTTTAGGGTTGGAGAGGAACTGTGTTGTTTCAGATGTTTAGGGTTGGAGAGGAACTGCGTTTGGTTTAGATGTTTAGGGTTGGAAGGGGAACTGTGTTGGGTTTAGATGCTTAGGGTTGGAGAGGAACTGTGTTGGGTTCAGGAGTTAAAAGCTGGAGAGGAAATGCATCAGACTCAATTATTTAGGGATAGAAAGTTGCTGTATTGGGTTCAAGTGTTGAGGATTTGGACTCAATTTAGGTGTTTTGGCTTGGAGAGGGACTGAGGTCTTACATTCATGGTTAAAAAATTGTTGGGTTGAGTGTTTGAGAGAACAAGGGAATGTTTTTTGGTTCAGGTTTCAGTGTTGGTAGGGACTGTGTTGGGTTCAGATGTTTAGGGTTGGTGAATATCAGATAAGTGTGTCCAGCAGCTGGCGATTAGGGTCACATGCTTTGGGTTGGGGAGGAGCTGTGTTAGATTCAAATGCTTTGGGTAGGAGAAGAATCTGGGAGTGGGGGAGGAACTATGTTGTTCAAGCATTTGAAGTTAGGGAAGGACTGTGTTAGGGTCACCCAGTGTTGGGTTTAGGTTTGGATGCTTCAGGTGGGAGAAGAAGTTAAGGATAGGGAGGGACTGTGTTTCGTTCAGGTGCTTTAGGTTAGAAGGGACTGTGTTGGGGTCAGTTTTTTGGGGTTGGGAGGGACGGTGTGGGGATGTTAAGGATAGGGAGGGTTCAGGTGTTTCGTTCAGGTGCTTTAGGTTAGAAAGGACTTTGTTGGGGTCAGTTTTTTGGGGTTGGGAGGGACGGTGTGGGGATGGTAGGGATACGGAGGGTTCAGGTGTTTCGTTCAGGTGCTTTAGGTTAGAAGGGACTGTGTTGGGGTCAGTTTTTTGGGTTGGGAGGGACGGTGTGAGGATGGTAGGGATAGGGAAGGACTGTGTTTCGTTCAGGTGCTTTAGGTTAGAAGGGACTGTGTTGGGGTCAGTTTTTTGGGTCGGGAGGGACGGTGTGGGGATGGTAGGGATAGAGAAGGACTGTATTGTATTCAGCTGCTTAGGGTTGGAAGGGACTGTGTTGGGGTTAGTTTTTTGGGGGGGGTGGTGTGGGGATGTTAAGGATAGGGAAGGACTGTGTTTCGTTCAGGTGCTTTAGGTTAGAAGGGACTGTGTTGGGGTCAGTTTTTTGGGGTTGGGAGGGACGGTGTGGGGATGTTAGGGATAGGGAAGGACTGTGTTTTGTTCAGGTGCTTTAGGTTAGAAAAGGACTGTGTTGGGGTCAGTTTTTTGGGGGTTGGGAGGGACGGTGTGGGGATGGTAGGGATAGGGAGGGACTGTATTGTATTCAGCTGCTTAGGGTTGGAAGGGACTGTGTTGGGGTAAGTTGTTCTGGGTTGGGGAGGAACTGTGGGGACTGTGTTTGGCTCACATGTTCTTGTTGAGTTATGGAATTGCCCTTCTGTGACTCGCAAGTTATTATTTTTACATCAAAATAAATCACATATTGTAAAACTTACACTAGCAGCAGACCCTGCAGTCCATCAACTTTAACTGATTAGACTGCAAAATGAGCTTGGAAATTTGGGAAGGGCAGAATTTCAATAAGGATTCCAAAGTAAATCCAAGTCCAGACACAGCAAATCTCAGAGACCTTCTGTGTCCACTGGCCAAATATGAGACTCATCCAAAAAAGGCAGAATCTGTTTCGCCTTTCGAAAGTAGCTGCTTAAGCCGTGCCAGGATATTTTTATGCTGCATATTTGAGGCATAATTGTCATGACTGCATACCTCTCCATCACTGAGGGAGCTGTCTGGGGTGAGGTGAGAGTTTGAGGCTGAGCTGTGAGCGTTGAGGCTACCCAGAGAGCCTGGACAGAGCTCCATTACATGGTTTCCGAAGCTAACCACAGATATGCTAGTAAAACTGCAACCAGGCACTTCTCTCCTGGGGCAACACTGCCAATCGGTCCAAGCAAACAAAACAAAAGGCCCTTAAGAGGCCTAATGTGGGACAGATGCTAAACAAAGCATCTTAATGAAAGATGAAATCCAGGATTATGGCTGGATTTACAGTTTAATGGTTAACCACAGACCTGGGGTCAGCAGTTTCTGTGGAGCTAAGAGGAATCACAAGCTAAAACAGAAAGAACATAATGGAAAGGAACAATTTACACACTGGTCACTTTATTAGAAACCACTACCTTGTTGGTCCACCTTGCTGGTGTACAGTGCTAACCATCCTTTCATTAGCCATTGATCAGTGGTTTGTTTCTGACCACAGAAACACCACTGGCTGGATATTTTTTACCACTCCCAACGTAGTTCTCCAACCAGGCTAGGTGTTCCTAATAAAGTGGCCAGTGAGTGGAAGTACAAGGTGGGTGTTTCTAATAAAGTGGCCAGTGAGTGGAAGTACAGGCTGGGTGTTTCCAATAAAGTGGCCAGTGAGTGGAAGTACAAGGTGGGTGTTTCTAATAAAGTGTCCAGTGAGTGGAAGTACAAGGTGGGTGTTTCTAATAAAGTGGCCAGTGAGTGGAAGTACAAGGTGGGTGTTTCTAATAAAGTGGCCAGTGGGTGGAAGTACAAGGTGGGTGTTTCTAATAAAGTGGCCAGTTAGTGGAAGTACAAGGTGGGTGTTTCTAATAAAGTGGCCAGCGAGTGGAAGCACAAGGTGGGTGTTTCTAATAAAGTGGCCAATCCTCTCCCTACTAGCTCCTCTGTTTTTTGTACTTTAGGTGTTCATGACTCAACGTTACTGTTATTAGAAATGTGCTTAGCATTGTGTTTCACTCTCTCTCTCTCTCTCTCTCTCTCTCTCTCTCTCTCCTCTCTCTCTCTCTCTCTCTCTCTCTCTCTCTCACTCTGCTATAAAACCCGAGGTTAGAGATCTGCCCATCACAAAGCCCTGCAGGGCAATTAAACCAACTATGCTTGGTCATCACGCTGCATTGTGGGTAATTTCATTACGTAATGTAACGAGCTCTAAGAGCAGGCCAACCTTATGACATAGTCAGCATGGC